TACAAGGAGTATTTCAGTGTGTCATCCAGCTCCATGATTGCGGCCTGGTTTCCACAACGATAACAATAGTTCGGTGCACTGAAGATTGTCACCACGTTGCGGTCGTGGCACCAGTTATAACCCTGGATCAAGATAACAGTTTGTGTTAACGGTCAAAGGGTGAAACATCAGTACATAGACTGAGGTTCTATAAAAGTTCGATAATAAGGACTAGCTTTTTTTTTAATAGAAACTGAGGGAAACACTTGAACTATATGTGACCCGGAACAGCACACTGAGGATTTAGTCAAATTTGGTCAAAATGACCTCAGTTTCCTGGTATTTTAAGTTGCATTTTGATACCTGGAACACCCTGATATCATGAGCGATTTCAGAAATATGTCTTAATTTGTCTTCCTAATCAGGATAACCCATTGAAATTTCATCTGAATCCTATTTTCAGGTCATTCTAACGAGGAAGTTTTGACATCATTATAGACAGGAAACTCCAAAAACCAGATTGAGATAAAAAAGCTTTGCTATCTCGGAGGGAAAATGTAACAAAAACTAGACATGGGTTTTTACGATGTAAAAACAAGTGTGCATTGCCATGTAGCATGTCATCGCAGCATGGCTTTGCCTGCAGCATTGGACTTGCAGAATTAACTTTGACAGTTCAAATGTGTTTGCTATACCAGCTTGTGCCTGTCACGTCAGCAGGTGTTTGTAATTAAGGTAATTGTGTGACAATATAAAGTTTGAAGAGATTTTTTCTTAAAGTTGCACTAGCCAGGTTTTGAACCCTGATATCCCACATGAAAGTCCATGACATAGACCATTAGACCAATGGAGCTGTGGCAGAAGGTGGTGGCAGGGGTTGGTTTGTATGTGTGCAGAAAGAGGCCACATTGCTAATACAATTATTGACACTAAACTGCATAATATTACAACAATGGAGCAGTATTAAGACAATGATATAGTAAAACATCAAAATTCAATCATATTAGTATTGTAAACACTGAACGATTGAGATTAAATATTAAAAAACTATGGTGCAGTACCAAGTTGAGTACAGCTGGGGGCAGTATTTCACCATTACAAGGCCCCATTGACTCCCATTATATGAATTTGGAAAGAAGTTTAAACATTAATATTTCAAAAACTAAAAGTTGTACAGGCACCAGAAGGCATAGCAGTCATTTGGCACAGGACCTTTACAGATAGAAATTACAA